GTGGTGATTTCAAAAATTACTTACATGTTTAAATTAAAAATAACTTTTATTATATTTCTTATTACAAAGCAATACATATTACTGACATATTTTAGCATGATTTTATTTATCCAGGAGATAAACTTCTCTCCAGAGAAATGCACCTCTTGGTTGATACTTATAATAAAAACCAATGAGAAAAAAAAAGTACTCAAAAGAAATCCATTGTGCCTTAACATAGTTATCATCCTTTTACAGAAGACAGATACCTAGACCTTGGAAATTTAATTTAAGGTAATACTATGGACACCACACTTAAAATCTCAAACTACCTAAATTTCAACCAAAAAACAGACAACACCAATTATCCTACATTCTGATCAAACACATGCAAACACTAATATGGGACTTAAAAATATCTCACATGGATGAATAAATAACTAAATAAAAACATTATCTGATCATCAAGACACTGCGTTTAGATGCAGAAAGAAACCTGCAGCACAAGAACAAAATGATGACAGTACCACATGCTACAAATGGCCAGATGAAAATCCCCTGCTACAGAGCAGAGTCGGGAGCCTTTCTGAAGGCAGCTTTGTGCGTATAAAATAAGCTCCTGGTTGCCGGATGCTGAACTGCCCGCAGCCCAGCTCATCACATCTTAGGTAACGGAGCCCCGTATCATCCACAGTATAAAAGAACCATTTGGGAAAAGCTGCATTTCATTACTTTTGTTACGTACCCTTTCGCCCAGCAAGTGGGTATCTGCATGAAAGGGAAAAATTATTTAAAAAGCTAAAAAACTTACTATCCTTAAAAAAAAAATTTTTTTGCTTGTAAGATATTTATCGTTTGGAGCTTCCATACCCTCCTTTGGAGTTGTGACATATTAAAATCACACTGACAGAGAATCACATTGATCTAGAGAATTACCTGGCTTATCTTTACAGGAAGCCAAATGACACACCCCTCAAGGACTCATGTCTCCCTTGCCCTCCCCCCCAGTGTTCTATACATAAGAGACCAGGAGACCCCACTAGTGACAATTAGCTAAGAGGCAGGCATCAGAAGACCAGCTGCTCTCGAAGGCACAGCCACAGCTTTCGTAGAGACCACATCATAGTGATAAACCCCACAGAAAGTCATGTGCCCCTGCACCTGGTCTGAAGTAAGAACTCCCTGGTAGAGTTGATTCCCAAGGAACCCTCTACTTCTCCAGGTCATGTCAATGGTGCCCTACTTTTCTCTCCAGCCCTCATTCCCAACCACTGGAGAATGACATATCCCTCTGCCACTGTGAGGGGACACAGCATCAGGTAGGAAATACAGTAGCTACTCGGGAAAAGGGTACTTTGAAGACGGGGACCCATTCTGGGGAGTCTTGCAGTCAGATCCTGCCCTTACAGGGCCTGAACAAGGAAAAACTTCTCTACACGAAAAGGTGGCTGACACTGCTCTTCCATCGCCGCAGAAGAGACATTTCAGGGACTGACTTTCTCAGATACCCTCTACTCACCTGGTGAATTTGTCTCGTTTCCAACGTGACAAAAAGGGATGGCTAACATCTGTGTATTGTCCTCTAGCCTGCTCGGCTGGAATGGACGAAGAGACCAGCTCTTACAGCACTGAACAGGCTTGCTGCAGTGCAGCCCTCTCACTTGGAAACAAATCTGAAGAGGTGCATTTGCATTTCAGAAAAGAACAGGCCGCCAGGGATACAATCGCAGGTAGGAAGTTAACGGAACAAGACTGGCCAACTGGGGTCACACCCAGCAAAGAGATAATACACACTGATCAGTTCAGGCTGTGAGATGTTTTGAGGCAGAGGGAAGTTAAGTTATCCCGTGTAAGATATTCCCGTTAGGTATGACAGGAAGAAATGTAATGTTTGTCCAGGCCTCATTTTGGTGGCCCCAAATGTCCAATCCCAGCTTAACTTCCTGATGGGAGCCCCTGTGGAGCTGCCATCCCAAGCTTTGTAGTAGATCTTGGAGAGGTCTGGCCTCGGCCTTCACATCATCAGCAAAGCGATGTGAGGGATGCTGAAGAAGAGTGCCTGTGCACAGCCAACCCGGTCTCTGCCTATGAGCCAGAGAGGAAGAGAGACAAAGCGATTAGACCATGGCCGAAAGACAAATAAAAGTAATGCAGAACCCCTTCCCCCCCCCACTGCTCCCCCACCGCCCATATCCCCACCTCCGCACACATGCATGGACCCTCTGTTGTGCTGGCACACACCCTTTTACCCTTTAGCAAACTCCCAACAGTATAGTCATGGGCTTCTTTCCCTGAGAAACCGACCTTTGTAACCATGTTGGACCAGGCACTTCTTCCAGACCTAGACTATAAGCTATATACCCAAGATAGGAGGTAGAAGCTGCAGGAAATCCTGTGGTAAAAGGAGAGCACACAGGCTACTATCAACCAAAAGACCATGCTGACAAAACGGCATTGCTGTCACGGCTACGTGGCTTCTGAGGAGGGTCTCTACAGTTGTAGCTATCCCAGTCCGTTCTGCAGTCCGTCAGAGCAGAAATCAGCTTCTTCCCATAAACTGGGATTGAATGTTTTGTGAGGAATTCTTCCCCCTAGAGCAGTGTTTCTCAAGTATTAAATGTGCATCGGAATCACTTGGTAATGCTATTAAGTCGAAGATTCTGACTCAGTAGGCCCCAGAGTGCATGTCTAATGAGCTCCTGCAGCTCCTTTCGAGGCTGACAAAGAACTGAAGAGCGAGGCAGTGACACAGTTCCACCTTCCTTCCTGTCCCAGAAGTCAAATGCCATTTCATTCCGTTGACTGTAAGCTCTTTACAAAAAGGCAGGTCATGTTTTAGAAGAACAGCCCACTAAATTCTAAGAAATCTCCGCATTTTTTTCTTTACAATAATGAGTTGCATGTGGCTAAGGGGAGTCATAGTACAGTACGGGCAAAGGTACGTTTTCTTAATTCTTGTAGAGGCGCCAACAAGTCCACACAACTTCTACGGAAGTTCACGTGCCTTCCATAACGTCCTTCCCATCTTTCCCAGAAGGTGGTGGAAGAGAGCCATGCCCACACCAAGGACTCCAGTCACACCGCCAACTGGCTTTGGCTCCTCTGAGGCTCAATCATGGAACACCAGGAGACAGTTTCAAAGGTGGGGGAGTGGGTGGAGAACACAACCCAAAATATAAAACAAAAAACCCAGAAGCCTTCTCATAGGTTCAAGTTACTCAACAATTTTATTTACCCATTCTACACACAAACACACACACACACACACAAAAGCACATTTCAAATATAGTTATACACACCTTATGTGGATCTGAGTGGCATATTTTGATACCAATGTCACCAGATTAAGTCAGAATGCTGGTAAGGACTCACATTCCTTTTTCACCAGAGCTGTGCCTAGGAAATCTGCAGGATAACTCTATGCATGAGTTCCCAATCCAGTTCATTCCCTTCACCAATTTCCAACCCCCTCCAGGGGCACAGCTGGTGATCAGTCCTTTGCTTTTGCCACAGTAAAACCATCACCATATCAGAACGAGCGGATTTTGTTATTTAAACACAATTAAAAAAATGTACACAAGCAGTTCAGATACAAAAACATTGAGATGGTAAAGACTGGTCCTACCTAGATCCCCAGTGAAAGGCTGACTGGAAAGAACACCTTTGCCAACTCTTAAGATCAATTTTTAAATGCAAAACTTCCTTTGCATTTTTATTTATTAGATTTGAATAAGAGTCAAATGCAACAACAGCATTATCCGCTGCTACATCCTGTGACAGGGAAGCTGAGGACACAGAAGGTTCAGAAGCAGACGGTAAAAGGGAAGTCCTGCCTAGAAGTGGGAGAGTGGGTGGAATTAACGCAGGTAGAGGTAACAATTACAGGCTTTGAGGAGGTACTTCCTTCACTGAGTTCACAAAATATCACACAAAAGTGATGTTCAACCTTCGTTTTCTACAAAATGATGAGATTTTTGACTGCTACTCTAAAAGAAATGTCTATTAAAAATCATAGGTACAGAACTTCCCCCTGAAAAAAAAGGTAAAGTGTTTACTTCCTTTCTTTGTAGGACACATGCAACGGACACAAAATCACAGTAATATGCATATACTACTAACTGGTACAATTAGAAAACAGATGGTCAGATTAAAAAACCCTACTGGAGTCTGTCAGTCAGTCAGTCAGTCAGTCAGCATACAGATTCTATCAGGGTCTGCCAGTCAGTAAGCACATGGATACTACTAGATACAGTCTTCTGGACACTATGCATCCAAATTAAATTCCTGGACTTACTTCTGATGACTGTATCACCTCTCTGGGAAGTCAGAGATCCATCCTGCCAATGTCACAACCTGCTCAATTGTTAGATAGTTTTTAAATTGAAATATTTTAAAACATGACCAAGTCAAAATACATCCTAGAAAACCTGGGTAAATTGACCAAATTTCTTGAAAACAAACACAACATGGCTTCTGAACTGGGCAAAAACAATGGAATGTCCATTAAGACTGTATAACCCAGATATAGTTCTCTCAATCATTAGACATTCTGCCCCCTGTCCTTTGGCTACCCCAAGCACCAGTGAGTTTCTCCAGAACCCACACCTCCTACTCACAGAAAAACCGGAAGATGGGATTTATTTCCAAAGTTATGTCATATTTCTTGAGAATGCTGGTGCCTCTGCAGATCCATTTGTGGATTGCAAAAAGGAACACCCAGAACTTCACAGGAAACACTCCTCCATTCAGCCTGGGAATACAGACACATTGTATTCCTAATTCTAACTTCTTGGGGGAGAAACAAACAAACAAAACCCTGAGACAATAAGATAGGGCAGACCCCCTACACATGTTTTTAAGATTTTCTAATTCTAGGGCGCCTGGGTGGCTCAGTTGGTTAAGCGACTGCCTTCGGCTCAGGTCATGATCCTGGAGTCCCGGAATCGAGTCCCGCATCGGGCTCCCTGCTCGGCAGGGAGTCTGCTTCTCCCTCTCCCACTCCCCGTTTGTGTTCCCTCTCTCATTGTGTCTTTCTCTGTCAAATAAATAAATAAAATCTTTAAAAAAAAAAAAAAAGATTTTCTAATTCTACTTTGCAGCTGAATGTAAAACAATCCCCTTATCAAAACAAAAACCAAAGACAATACAAATTAAGAAGAACTAAATTCTAATTTGAGGATTATGAGACAAGAGAAGCTAGTTCTCTAAATCTGCTTTGGATTCCTCTTTCAAGTCTGTTACAAAATTCATCATTCAGCTTCCAAGCAAGACAATGAAATATACAGGGATTTTCCTTTCTCCATTTACTAGATTAAATAATTTAATAGATTAAATGCTAAAGCCTTCACCTATTTCTCCCACAATGAAACCAAAAGCCTCAGCAAAAGGTGCTCCGGAATCCATCCTTTCTTTGTAGAATCTATGACCTAGACATAACTATAGCAATGTGCAGATACTACCAATACACATTCCAGTAAGAAAGGAAGAGGAGGATAGAAAAGATAAGAAGTGGAACTTCTCTAAAATTTGGAGTAAGAGCTCTATGCCATTCTGTATTCTCCTGGCTTCTTCCTGCAGAAACTTCTCTGGAGGGATCTTGCTCTAAAAACTGAAGGATGCCGAAAGCCTTGCTACCGTGAAGTTCTAATTTCTTGTGTCCCACCTGAGACTAAAAAGACCACCTCAGGCTCCTCTTTTGGGGGAAGCAAACTAGCATGGGGGAGAGTGGAGAAATAAGGAGCAGGCTGAGGGCCACAGTGAACATCCCGGTGACCTGTGGCTCATGCTGGGGTTTATAACAGGGTAACACAATGCTCGTGTGTTAGAGAATCCTCCTCTCACTAAGAGTATGCACAACCCAAATCCAAAGTCTTTGGATCAAAATGCTCCTGCTTGTCATTCATTAGCTCTGAATTATTCTTATTGCACGGCAGGAAAAAAAAAAAAAACTGAATGAATAATCATTTGGGCTAAGCATGCTGCCGGCCAAGTAAGGTTAGATGAAGCCACCTTGTAAAAGTGCCCCCCACACCACCTAGACCACATCTCATTCTCACCTGGAGGGGGAGGACTCTCACCTGCTACCCCCCTTCAGTCTCACAGGACAAGAGAAAAGTCAGAAGGAATCTGAACTCCCCTTCAGTGTCCACACTTACAGATGCAAGGTGTTGCTCTTTTGCAAATGTTCATTTATTATAAACTATATACCCTGTCTCTAAAATAACCTTCTTCAGGGCAAGGACCTTTTCTTCCACTTCTGTGCACCCTATCACCATCAGCCCCCCCCCACCCAGCCCGAAGCCCCGCAAAGACACCATGTACCCAGAATGTAATGGCAAAACAGAAATAGCAGGTTAGACACACTGAGGAGCAGAAGCTAGGCAAGCAGACTTTGGAAACACTGTGATGTCCTGCTCTACTCAGATGCAAGAATAAAGGACTCAAGGTCACAAGGCAGCTGCCTATGATGATAACCTTTATCATCCTACAGGTTTTATCTCTGTGCCTTTATCCAGAGTGCTGAAAATTCCCAGCTATTACCCGAGGACATTTATTCACACAATGCTTTGTTCCACAACACCTTGCAGTGTAAAGGGTTAAAGATGGGACTAGAACCCAGAATAACGCTCTAAAACACAGCAGCCTGCCTTCAAGGGGGTCACTTAGTGTGATACTTAGTGTATTACTTAGTGTAATACTGTGATCTGCTCACACATCTAACTCCAGAGAATCGTCCTTTCAGAGCCAAAAAGAATTCAAAATTCTTAGGTTGACGCTCTGTCCGAAGAACTACTCCAGTATTTCTCCCCACAACTGAAATGAAGCTCTAACCCTGAGTATGAATCAGAATCTTCAGGGAAGTTATTGCCAACGCATACATGCCCAGACCCCAACCCCAGAGATTCTGAGTTAGTATTAAGCCTAATGTGGACTGGGGCATGTATGTATTTCAAAAATTCTAAAGAGGATTGTAATGAATGCTCCTAGATGAGAACCATGACAAAAGGTCTTCTATTACCAAAGAAAAAGACCCTTGGCAAATAGGTCACTTGCTCTCACTGGTTTCCTCTAAAAGACAATTGATAACTTTAAGGTGTGGATGTATTCCATCACTTTTAAAAATCTCATGAGAAATCCGAATTCTCTCTCAGAAAACTGCACATATATTCATGTTTTATATACCGAATTGGAGGGGCCACCAAGGAGCTAAGAATCCCCTGTTCTAAACGTTTCCTGTTTAACCCTAGAGAAAACAAAATGACAAAAGTGAATAGGCAATTCCAGATAATTAAGAGCTAGACCCCTCAAGGTCCCAAAGACTCCTGGAAACCAAGATGAGATAAAAGAATACACCGGTGAGGGAGATTAAATTCATGGCCAGGCCTTTCCACATTTGGGGGGGTGGGGGGAAACACTGCTCATGCAAAATATTTTAACGTAAAGAGGAGAGTGTGTTGAAAATTACAGGAAAATAAAAAGCTCTAGTGAACTCTTCGCTGCCTTCTGTCTGCCTTGAGCAATTCCAGTATCCGCGGTGACTCTTTAATCTAACTCTGTCCTTCTAAACAGCCCCAGAGGTCACTGGCCTTGGCAGGAAAGTTGCTGTGGTTGGCAAAGCTGGGAGCCACTGAAAAAAGACATGACTGCCCTACAAGAGCCCTGCAAGACCTAGAGAACGTCCTATTCTCCTAAACCTCATTCCACAGCTGCCAAAAAGACCCATGCCTGGCTCTTGAAGTGAAAAGTACCAACCAAGATATTTCACACATACTCAGAGCCAACTCCCCCGGAGCCTCAAAGACTTAGGACTGGCTCTCATGAAAGGAGGCACGAACTCTCACCCTATGTCCACTTGTGGGCTCCAGAGCATCTGTGGATGTTCTGCAGCCTGGGCTGACCCTTTCAGGACCTGGTTTGAGAGGAAAGGAGAGGGGGAAAAAAAAAAGCTCCCCCAGTCTGGATCCATTGAGGCCCCCTGCAGAGAGCATCAACAGAGCCCAGACTTCTCTCTCGCCAACCACCCCTTCCCTCCTCAACAGACACGATGACAATGCCATGCATCACACTGGAGAATCCAAAGGGGAGGTGAGCAAGGGGGGAACAAAGCAGGCAAGTAAGGACTGTGAGTAAAGCACACCTTGAAGAGACAAAGGTGAAGGAAAAATGGGCTTCTGTCTCCCCCTCCGCCCCACCCCCTCCTTTACCAACACAAGGACATGAGTAGTTTAGACACCAAGGATAAGAACCAAGGCTATGGGGCAGGCTTAACCTCAGACCCAGCTATGCTAAGCACCCAGGGGAGTGTAGCCCTTTTCCTCCTCCTCCAGACTACCCCAACCAAGGACATGTCCTAAAACACCCACTGGTCAAATTGCCCCTGGGCAGGGAGATGTTTCACACTGGAGAACAGCTAAGATTGGTCTGGAAACACATTAGCTCACATTCTGTGTTAAAGTCCATGGTGGGGTGTTGGGGGTGGGGTCTGGAAGTTAAATGACTCATTGGTGCTTAGAGACAAGGGCAGGAGGCCAAGCCTGGAGGGGACACACGGTTACACCACCGGAATGCTGACTTGGGTCTTCGGCTGGTCGGCCCCTTCTTGCGTGTCCAGGGCACGGAGAGGGCTGAGGGGCTTGAGGGGCCGGCTCCCAACACTGTAATTTCTTGGACGCCTTATTGTATTCGAACTGGACAGAGGCGTAAAGCTGTTCCTTCTCATCCTTACAGGGGTTTGGTTCTTGGGGAAGTTGTTCTAATTGGAAATGGAGGGACACCACACAAATGAAAGCCAAGCCAAAAGCTCACTCATAAAGGTTAAATAATGCCTGTAACCACAACCGTTTCTTCCAGTCCTGCTCCTCTGCAGATAGAGTCTCTCATAAGACATGGGCCATGGCCTTAGCCCTAGTCCCAGGAAGCTAAAGGGTTGTAGAAGGAGAAGCTCCTTGAGCATCATACTCCAAAGGAGGAAGGAGGGCCCACGAAAGGAAGGGGCTTATTTAAGATCACACAGATTATCAGGACAGACCCAGGAACAAACCCTATACCGCTTGACCCCACCTTATAGGCTCCTCTGGGTCCTACTCTCTAAAGGGAGCACTCCCTGGGGGAAAAAAAATCTGTATTTGACTTCGGCCAAACACTTCCCATATTTAACTGGATTTCCAGGAGCCAACTTTCAAGGTTAAGACTCATGAAAGAGGTACTAATTTTAAAAAAGTAGTAATTCCAACATTTCTTCCTTTTGGAAGTAAGCAGACTAGGACATGAGTTACATAGGACATGAGTTCTGGATGTGTTTCCCTTTTGTACATAAACAAAACCCGAGTCTCGTGATGCCAAAGGTTCAAAGACTCAAGGTGGCAGGGAGCCTGCATGTTCATCTGCGGGAGAATACTTACGGTTGGCTTGTCACGGTGAGTGTTCACAGCCTCCACGTTGAGTTTAATTGTTTCCACTTTACATCCTGAGGAAACAGAGGAAAGAGAAAAGGCCTTCAGGAAAAAAGCTCCAAGAAAAATTCCTTAGATTCAGTATGGGAAACATACCATAAAAGAATGCATATATTCCCAAATATACACATCCTTTTTTTAAAGATTTTATTCATGCATTAAAAAAAGAGAGAGAGAGATGCAGAGCATGAGCAAGGGGAGGGGCAGAGGGAGAGGGACTCGATCCCAGGACCCAGAGATCATGACCTGAGCCAAAGGCAGACACTTAACCAACTGAGCCACCCACATGCCCCCATAGATCCTTTTAAAAATGGAAAGCACTGATGGAATTTCCCTGGTATACAGGGGTGATAAAGTTGAACTTCTAGACAAACTTCAGAGAAAATTCAAATAGCCTGACTTTCTTCAATCCCCACATCCTGCCCACTGCTAAGCTCATAGTTACCGTAGGCCACAGGAGTAAGTTTGAAGATGGTATGGAGGGGGCACCTCAAGTATGGTAGCTCATCTGAAAACAGAAAGACCAGGTGAGAGAAGTCTCTTAGTACTATGGATTAAGGTCAAGTAAGTGGGAGAATCTAAGGAGCTCATGAGTTCTCTTCACCCTGACCTAGAGTTGTACAATTCCTCCCCTAGACCCCAGACAATTATCGGGACGGCCACTAAAGAAGCTGCCCAAGCTACTGAGAGGCTAAGGAAGGAAAGCAGTCCATTTTAGAACCTTCCATGAAGGCAAAACAGAAGTGAGCAGGACCCGGTGGAAGGGAAGATTGTGGCCTATGTGGGTGTACCAAAGGCCAATCTGCAGGCTGCCCAGCAGCTCAGATAGATGAAGAGGAGGGGAGGGGAGGGGAGGGGATGGGGAGGGGGAGGAGGAGGGGAAAGGGAAGGGGAAAGGAAAGGGGAAGGGAAGGGAAGGGTCAGAAAAGTCAGCAAGTTCCTTCAGGCTTTACCCAGAAACTGTCCTATGATGAATCCAAAGGATGAAGATGCTTTTAAGACACCACCCTCCTTGTAGCCAAATAACAAGCCGGGAATGTGCAAAACCACTTTTCTGATTCTGCCAGGAGGGTCAGCTAGACACTGGCCCTCTAGCCAAGCAGGATTAAGGAGCTCCAGCAGTGGCCACTCCAATGGGGGCTTTGGTACCAGAGGAGTAACTTCAGCGAGTAGCTGGCCCAGTGGCTGCTGGGAGCCCCACACTGCTGTCAGAAGAATGCACTCCAGTTTGAGTGGAAGAGGGGCAGGTTCTGTTGCCTGGGATCCTGGCGCCACCCTGAGTCCAACCCCCTCGCCATGAATGTGTCCCCTGGCCCTTCCCCAAATGTCACCTGCACCCTTATCCAAGAAGTAGGCCAGCAGGCAGCGCATGACAGCCTGGTGGGAGATCACGAGGACGTTGCCCTGCCGCTCCAGCTCCATGATGACGGGCTCCAGCCGCTGCACCAGGTCCTGGTACGACTGCGGGGGAAGTGAGGCAGACTGGTGGGAGGCCAGGCACAGGCTAGCAGCCAAGTCGGTAGCTGGCTCCAGAGTCAGGAGGCCACTTCTCCTTCCTCCCCAGCTGGCTTTCCTGCTGGAGGTTTAGCGACTTCATGTCGCCTGCTAACTAACCCCAGCCCTGTGATCTCTTGAGAATCCTCAGACCTTTCAAGAGCAACATTTAGACTGAGAAAACTACAGGTCAAAAAGAAGAAATGTGAATTCAGCCTGGGTCTTTTTTCCTTCCCAGATGAACAGGCAGCACGTGAGGCTCCGAGGGCTTTCCTGGACCTCTGCTGTTGGTTTTAGTTACCTGGGCCTCCCAGGGCTCTAGACTACAAAGCCCCTCGGGCCAGCGAACAGCCTCAAACATGCGAGATGACAGGGAAGTCATTCATACCCCATATATTGACTCGGGGCCTATACCTGCTTGGGTCGGGGTGGGACTGAGGGAGTAGAACAAAAAAAAGAAGTAAAAAAGAAGATGCTGATTCTACAATGAATCAACACACAAGACATCCTGTCACCCTTTTCCCTGGAGATCTTAATGAGATGTTTGACGGTCTAAGCTGAATTAAACACACTATGACCCAAAGTTGGAGGACAAAACTACATGATGCCTTGACTACCCTTTCTAGACCTTCCACATCCCATTCACTCCTTCCCCCTAATTAAAGCTAAACCCCCAACGGAGGGCTGGATAGTCACACCACGTGAGGGGAAATCTCACCTCCCCACCAGGGTACCGATACAAGTATTTCTCTTGATCTCGAAGCGCGAACTCGTCCGGGTACTGCTTCTCAATCTGCGCATAGGTCATCTCCTCACACACGCCCTGCAGGGAGCCACATCGGCTGCAGGAGGGAGGCCGCCCCCTGCGGCATCCCCCCAAACAAGGGGGGCGACACTAAGGAATCCTTAGTGTCCCAGTCCCAGCACAGTGCCTGGCACGGGGAGGGCCACTGCACAGGAGATGTGGCTTCTCAGCTTGCTCCGACTACTTGCTCCGACTACTTCAGAGAAGTTAAAGGTCCAAGAAAAGTCAGCAGGATAAAGGGAACAGGAAGCAGGGGAGGAGAAACTGAAGGGACCAGAGAATTCTGGCAGAAGGCATAAAAAGGTACAGAGGAAGAAAAGAAAAATGTCTGCTTTTGTGCTCAAGGACAGAGAAAGCCAAGAAAAAAATTTGGAAAGGACCAAGTGATCTAAGCAGAAATTAAAGAAGGGAGTTGTTAGTTATTTCTTTTCCCCAGCAGAAAAATATACAAAGAAACGAAATGGAGCCGTGCTGTCCCCAGATGCCAGAGGGGCTAGGTCACAGACTGGTCTAGGCCCGTAATTGCCACAGGTGCTCAAATAGGCAGGAAGCCCTGACTGGGGTGCAATTGTTCCCTCTTCTTCCCCTACTACTACTACTACCTGGTAGTTCTAGTTTTCTAGATAAAACTGACCATATTGTGACTTCTGAGAGCTCCTGCCTGAATAAGAGACTCTTACTGGCTTTGCAGCCATCAGAATTCCTACTCACAGCATCGATCTCATTCAGAATCTTCCACTGCTCATAGGTCACACCCAGGGATTCAGCAGTCTGGATAGTCCTCTTTAGCTGGCTCGTCCACACTTTGAGGTCTGCTATCTCCTGTTCCTCCAGAAACTTCCTTAGAGCCTGGGCAAACTTGGGTTGGAGATAAAAATTTTAAAGGAGAGAAACATGCGCACACACGCACATACAGACACACACACACACAATTGCTAACTTGGCCTACAAAGGGCAACGTGTAGGACCATGGTCAAAATCCAAAAGGTGCTACACAGTTATGATAAACCCAAGAGGAAATGAACTTCCACTGGAGCATCCTGTACCGTGCTCAGCACACAAGTCATGCCCATTAAATATCTGACGGTTGAATTAACAGAAGTGGTTCCAAGTTACCACATTACAACACAGCCAGAATCAGTGGACAAGAAGAGGTCTTCCACATTTGCTTGATTATCTGAAACCACAGCCTCAGCCCCAATGGGATTTAGGAAGAAGTAAGGGGATAAGAGAGATGACCTCCACCATGCCCTTCCTCCAACTCTAAGCCTGGGAAATCCAGCCTGCTGCTGAATGCCTCACCTGTTTTCCCCGCACCGAGAGGCCAGAGTCACCCCCAATCCTCCCCAAGAGGTTGAATTCGCTCTCTCCATGCCGGCAAAGGTAAATGGTGCGAGGCTGCACGTGGATATTCATGAGGTAGTAGACTATCTTGCTCTGGATGTAGTCCTGGACTCTGTTCACTAAAAATCGCTGGCCCACATTTATCACCTTGATGAAAGAAAGATCCCTGGGACAGAGCAGGAGAAAAGAGAATCCCTGAGAATGAAAATCTGAGGATACCAGCGGGAAGGGAAGGATTCCCATAATTACTTGCAGGTTTGAGGCAGCTCTTCCTCGTCTCCTGTCAGAGCCAACCCACATTTTAAGGAACCAACAACCAGCAGGAGGCGGATTGCACCTCAGACCCAAGATGAAGTAAGATGTCCCGAACTTCTGGCCACTCTATCATTTCTTCAAGTGCCTGTACCGTGCCATGTAGTTTAGATAAGTAGGATACGAAGAATCCAGGCTTTCCCTCAAGGGTTAGACTAGGTGACCTGACAATTTTGCTAACCCTGAAGTTTGGTGAGAAGCACAACCCCCATCTGAGCTGGTCAAGACCTGGCCAGGGGATGGCATGGCCCGCGGGGAGGGCAGCAGGCAGCAGAATCTTAGAGATTTCTCCATGTCCCCTGCATTTACCTAATCAAGCCTCTCTCGGAGGTACTTCTGCAGCGGTTGCCTCATCAGAGAATTTTTCTCATTGTAAAAATGATAAATGCTAACTGAATTTAAATTTTAAAAAAAATGATACTTATTCCAAAAACATTTTCAAAAAAAGATAGAATGATGCAAATAAAAACCACCCAAACCCTACCATCAGAAATACTATCTATAAACACACACACACACACACACTGTTCTAGAATGTTTTTCTATAAAGGACTTCTATGTAGAAGAATATACTATTATACCATCTCTAGAACAGTGGTTTTCAAACTCTATATTAAGGAACACCTCCAAATACTGACATTTCAAACTCTATATTAAGGAACACCTCCAAATACTAACATTTCAAACTCTATATTTAAAGGAACACCTCCAAATACTAACAATCTACTTGAAGGAACTTAAAGACTCAAAACATTAAGCAGACCACTACCACAATGGAACAGTGAGCTACGCAGACTTATCTTGCCATCTGCTTGGCTGCGGGGCCATATCTTATTCAAACACAGCCGTTAACTGTATGGCCACATTCCCCAGGTTTCTGTGTATACACATCTTTCTTCAACATGGACTTCACATTTTACTATGGCTCTTTTTTTCTTCTTTATGTTCAGATAGCCAACATACAGTACATCATTAGTTTTGGAAAAAAAAAATGGATAAAATACATTGTGCATGAATCTTTCCAAAAGGCCTGGAATTTTTACTATGGCTCTTATACCTCATGCACATCAAGTTAACCCATATTGCATAGCACATTGCTAGTAGACACTACCACAGTAATAATGGCTAGCACTCAATCAGACATTTCTGATGAGCCAGGCATGTTCTTAAGGACTTTACATGCTTTATGTATATGTATATACACACACACACACACACACACGTGTATATATATATACATACACACATTTTATATATATTTATATGTTTGTTACACATTTTTACTGATATGTATTTGTATCATATGTATTTATATATAACATCATATATACATTATATATACCTGTACATGCATATATGTTCTATGTAAACATATTTCTATATTATGTTACTTGTGTGTATAATATATGTAATCTTATATACTAATACATGTGTGTTACAGAATAGATATATACACACAATAAACTTCAAAAATTGATCAAAAGCTGATGACACATCTCTGAGGGGTGTCCTACAACACCCTAGATCAGAACTACTTGATTTTGCTCCCCAGGGACACCTGGCAATGTCTGAAAACATTTTGGCTTGTTGAAGGTTGGGAGTATTACTGGTATCTAGTGAGTGGAGGCCAGGGATGCTGCTAAACATCCCACAGTGCACAGGGCAGCCCCCCACTGCTGTAATAAAGAATTAGTCAGCAATGCGGAGACTGAGAAATCTTGTTTTAGAGAACAGAGAGGAAGAACTGATGATAAAAAACACTTCACTGTTCAAGTGTAAGATGCAACCTACAGAGAAGCCACAAATCCATACCTTGTTTCTCTGGAATGATGTAAACATTATAGGTCTGGATGGTCAGAAGAAAGTTTGAGGACAGAGGGAGAAAGGCTCTTTTCTCAAATGAGACCCCTGCCTGAGGCCCTTCAAACCATGGCCTTAAACCTTACTTGTCATAGTTGTCTGGGTCAAGGGGTCGATAGGTGACTTTGTAGCACTCAATTCTCTTTAGGAAGTCCTCCATCACATTCTCCCTGTTCCTTTCAGGGTAGTCAGGGCTCGACACCTTTACCTCCTGGAATCATAGGGAGAGTAGGGCCTGGTCAGAGGTGTGTCCTTAACAGCCCTTGTACAAACAGCCAATGCTAAATAAAGAGAAGGAAGTCCACAGAAGGGCTCTTTCACTGGAGCATTGGCAATCCCCGTTCAGTGAGCACCCCCTCCCTGTCCTGTGACCCTGGCAACGAAGAAAGGCAAGACAACTGGGGAGTCATGTGCCTGCCCTTGGCTGAAGGACTGAGGCAGTCATACAGCTCAAACTGCTCCTGGGCCCAATCCCTTTATGTGCCCTGCTGGGAACACAGAATGGGCTTCAATTTCTCCGTACGACCACTCAGAATAGGGTGCTTGATCTGACGCATGCCTGACTTGGACCAGATACCTCTTCTTAGTTGTTTCCAAGTTCCCACACTGCTAGAAGAGCACTATCATGATACCATGTCCACATAGAACAGTACAACCCATCAAATGGGCATTGGTTTATACCGTGACCATCCAGGGCATGAGACACTCAGTGCACAGAGCACTGACCTGAATGTTAGACAGTGAGTGGGCAGATGACCTTCCTACATGGTGGCCCTGACAGATAGTGAAGAGGCTGATCTACTCTGAGGACATCCCTAGGTCTCAGCATCCAGCTGATACCCAGAACACAGGGCCAAAACTCCTACGGTCTAAGTCTTGGCTTCCATTCAACAGCTCATTCTTACTTTATTCCTCAGAGCCTCGGTTTCTTCTCCTATGGGAAGAATGTGGAAGTATAAAATGGTGCTCTGGCAGATCAAAAAGATCACCCTGCATTGTTAAACGTGTCTATTTCTTTCTTTCATTGCCCAGTTGACTCTCCCCCCTCACCCACCAACACACACATAACACAAGGCAGAAAGGACAGGGAGGTGGTGGTATGCAGGGGTGTCACCCACCAGGATGTTGGCAGCAATGACATCAGGATCATCGCAGACAGATTCCACAAAGAATACCTGGCCAGAGAGAGAAGGCAGTGATAAATGAGTCAATGGGAGAGAAGGCAGTGATAAATGAGTCACAGGCTGTTCATTAACAGCCTGTGCTCACACCTGCCCCACCATGGCCACCACACCCCCCGGGATTTTTTTTTCATGAAAGTGGCCTTCAAGGCCTCCTCATTTAAAAATAGCTCTTACCACATCCCCAGGGCCTCAGACATACGGGCTAAGGGGCTGAGAAAGGACCTGAAAGAAGACACTCAAGGACTGGGGGTATTTCCCAAGAAAAGAAAAGCGGATAGCCAACCCTGTCCTCCTCACCCACCAGAGTCAAAGAGATCCTCACGTCCCTCTTGACTCCCCACTGCCACTCATCCCTCTCCTCCAGCAGGGAGCCAAACCCTACCTTGAAGGAATTCTCCTTGGCAAAGTTCAAAATCATGTCCCTCCTCTCCCTAGTCGTATTGGTGGCATCAAACACCTGGGGAGAGAGGCCGCAAAGTAGATGAGCGGGCAGAGAGAACTGGAATCCCACCAAGGCAGACTCCGGGTGAGGCTGTGCAGTCTCTTGGGTGGAGATCAAGATGGGGAAGAGGCAGGGAAGGCTTACCGCGATCTGCCCGCTCTCCTCGGTAAGGTACGCCTTCACATCTTCCAGCGCCACCAGAGCACACTGTCTGCCACGAGAACAGAGGACATCAGCAAGAGCAGCGCCAGACCAAGCTCAGGCACAGCCAGAGACATGAACAACTGGGTTGCTAGAGGAGTCATATCCCTTCCCGCTTAGTTTTCCCAGTGGTCAAAATTTTCCCCTAACTGAACTTTTCAACTTCCCCACTGAGGTTTTTAGACTATCCTGTATTTTTCCCATTCCCCTGCCCCATGCATATAAAGTCTCACTCTACAGGTTTACCCTACAAACACACATGCCTCTCCCTGAGCCTGTTCTGCTACCTACCCAAGCCCAACGTGACCTGTCTACCAAATAATCTCCAGTTAAAATCCCCAAAGGATATTTACTGACAGGAAAACCAAACCCTGCCATGTCCAGTCTTGTGATGGCAGAGAAGGAGCTCGCTGGGAGGTCAGGCCTAAGAAGACTCACTTGCGGATCTTCATGGCCTCCTCATTGTCGTGCCGGAAGAAGTCGTAGGACTTATAGGACTTGACTGCTTCACGCCGATACACCCCAAGATTAAACACTGCAGGTGACACCAACAGCCCTCAGCAGTGAAACAATACAATGGCCCCACCAAAGGGGACTTCTTGGTCTAATGTCAGAGTTGCCAAGGAAATGAAAAAAAGCACCATGGTATGCTGGGAACAATACCAGATTTAGAGTCAACTTAGATTCAAGTTCAGATGTATTAGTCCTTGAACAAGTCTTAAACTGTCTGAGTTTCAATTTCCTCAGCCACTTTGGCGATTTCACAGGAGTGCTGCTAGGATTAGACAAGATGATCTATATGGAGGTAAAGTGCTACACCACCAAAGGCATGCCCTTAAATTTAGGCCAATCCACCCAGGCCAAGAGGAAACAAGTCTGTAAACAGGGAATAAATCCAGCAAATCAGGAATCAACCACTATTTCTGCCAGGAGCACCCTGTAATCTTGATGCCAAGGAGAACAGATCTCCAGAGGCTTGGGAGGCCCAAGAACTAATCATTTCCCTTCCCAAGGAATAAATGACCTGCACCTACCTTTGGTGGGCACCCCAATCCAGTTGAGGTAGCGCGTGAGTTTCTTGGACACATAGGTTTTGCCCCGGGCTGGCAAGCCAATCATAACGATGAGAGTTGGGGAGTTGGTCATGTAAGATGCCCATGCTAGAGGGGAAAGAGAACAGAACTGAGCGACTAGGGGCTGCAGAAGGTTCGTGCACTGGGCTAGATACTTCATAGCCATAACCTCATTTAATCTTTACACACCTCAGCCAAGCCAGGGGAAGACTGGGATGGCAAATAGAGGAGCTATCAGGCCAACCTCCTGAAAAAAAACTAAAAGGTCATGTAAATTTCCAAGAAGTACCCAAGTCAAGACATGTCTTCCCCACATGTGCAAAGTCTCCACAGAGGTACCTTAGGTGGAAAGAGAGACAAAAGTGGCAAGGATTAGAAAGATAAGAACCATGGCACCTTCCTTAACAAAAGAATGGCTAGTAACACAAGAACAATACAGCTGTGGAGGCACGCCTTGTGCCTGGAGATTCCCCAGGGATGAGCCGGCCTGGCTCCTACAAAAGGTCCAACAGAGTTTCTATCCTGAGGATCCCATCTATCCCTTCAAAGCCATGAGCAAGAACTAGCCTGCCCACTGTAAAAAGAGGCTGGTCTCAAACTGTTTTGGCTTTTGTGCTCAGGACACAAGCTTAAGCCCGAATTTCTAAACCATAGTGAGATTCAGACTGTGGCAAAGCCTACTTGACAGAAGTTCTGACAAGACCCCTCAGGAAGCTTCATGGTAAAGCTAGCCTGCAAGGGCAGCGTGGGCAGCCAGCCTCAACGGCCGTGTGAAAGCAAGAAATCCAGAAACAGGAACAGTCACTGGTCCATCCTTCCTGAGGAAACTTAGTTCAGGAATGGTCATGTACAGAGATAGGGCTCAGTGGACAGGTGGGGCAAACTAGACGGTCAAAGGTCAGGTGACTCGCCTAAGGATACAGGATGGGTCATGGAAGAGCTAGCACTAGAATCCAGAGCTTGTGCTTCCTCCGCAGCCTGCTCACAGGGCCGGGCTCCTCCCTGCCCATCCTGCCACAGATGAGTGGTGGGAGAGGGGCCTCCACTGCTGCCCACCACTTCCCTGGGGCCCAGACCAACCGAGGTCGGACAGGACGACTCCAGACTCTTGTGAGGGGAGGCCCTGCCCAGGGATGAGAAAGGGAAAGCATCACCTTGCTTTCCACTTCCTGGCACTGCCTTCTGGAAGGTGCCCTGCTGGGTACTGCTGCTTCTCTGTGCTGGGACGAGGTGGCCCGTAAGGCTGAGAAACAACTGGGTAAAACTTAGGTGGTTGCACGGGAAAGTCATTCTCAACAGCTCTCACTGGAGAAGTGGGCAGAAGGGCCTGGGTAGAGGACGGACCTCAGAAGGAAGGGAGTTTCCTAGGGGTGTTGGGCAAGAAGTACCCAGAAACTAGAGTGGCCCCAAGTGGTGAGGCGGGAGTGGATGCCCAGACTCGGGGTCGGAGGACTTGGCCTCTAGTCCTTTACCTGCTGTGCACATGGACAATTCCTGGGCCTGGGCAGGGACTCCTCCAAAGCAGGCAAGGAGCAACGGAAGTGATTTTCATCTGTGTCCAAATAGGAAGCACAAAGGCAGGAAAATGCCACCCTGCAGCCTCAGCTGATGTGAATCCCTGATCTCTGACTCCTGACAGGTCTGCCTGGGTACAACTGCCTCGCCTTTCAGTAGTAAAATCCTCCTGAGTCTTCACTTTCTCCAGCTCACCACCATGCTCTGCTCAATCCCCCATGATTTGCCACATTACTTGCACTTCTGGGCCTGCTTTGTCCACAACTTCCAGCCCATTAGACGCTTCCCCCAAAGGTCCTCTTACCCTCCCTAAAGCTAAAAATGAACTGATGCTTGGGAGCTGCTCTGAAGCTAAACAGGGGACCAGCTGCTACATGTTTACCTAACTGGGCAGAGAACGCTAAGAGGAAAAAAAATAAAACAACAAAAAACAGGGGTCTCTTAAAAGGACTCCCCAAGGCTCCACACCTCCCACCTCTGGGCTTCTCATTTTCCAGAATACAAAACTAAAACACACTTCCTATTTCAAACTGCCACGTTGACAAAATTAGGAACATTCTGTCCTGCCTGTTACAAAACAAAACCACTAGCACCTTAATTTGAATAGTATATAGTTCAAGCTGATTAATTTCAGAGACAATGTAACATACCCGTTGGCTTATAATGGAAAGCTGTTTTAATCCTGAAATTCTCTCCTGCCTTCTTTAAACAAGGTTTAACTCCCTTTCTCCATCTTAAACTTATTCTCCCTCATGAACATACTTAGAGGAATTGAAGGTTTGATAACTTCCCTACTACAAACAGAAACACCCAAACCCAGGGAGGTGAAGAGCCTGGTCCACAATTCCACAGTAGAAAGTCAAGGTCAGGGCTCTGACCAGACTCCTGGTTTCATGACTGCCCCATCAGTCCCAGCCACCAGCTCCTGTCAGCACCTGGCCAAGGGAACCATGTGGTAAGCATGACTAAATTCTCTAATCTAATCCTGAAAGGTAGTCTAGTAGGTCAGTGGTTCCCTGCCTTTTCATAAACAAGGCCTTCTTCCACTATTCGTTCTAAATAGGCCCAATATTTTTAAAATATGCAGCCTATTAAAATGTGTTTCATTAGTTATTTTTTCATTCTTGAGTAGTCATAAAACTGCTAATTATCTCCTGCTATTTGACAGGCATGAGCTATCCAAGTTCTGTAGCTAAACACTGAGAACGTTAACGTTTTACTGAGCCAGCGCAGCCATAGTTGACAATACCCAATTTTCACCCATGCCCTCTGAAATATGAAAAACAGCTAACAATACAGAACTAGTTAGGAGAATAAATTAGTAATGCTGGTCAACATTTCAAATGTGTCTTTCCTCCTATTACTTCTGTAGGAAAAGTTGCTAGCATGCACATGCTAAGGTATATATGGGCAAGGATGCTCCTGCAGCATTCTTTGTGATGGTGGAAAACCAAAAACAGGGCAAATGTCCATCAGGGGGAGGCTGGCATATCCCTAGAATGCAATACTATGCACAAAGAGGTAAATCTGGATTTACACACACACACACACACACAAAACCCTCCACAAGATAGTAAGTTATAAAAAAAAAAAGGAAAATAGCAGCAGAATAGAATATGTACAGTATGAACCTATTTTCGTTGACAGAATACACCAGAAGATGTCGGGAAGAATCAAACTTAACAGGGACAGGAGAAATTGTGAGAGATTTTTTTACTTTTCACTTTCTCTCTGTTTTGTTTGAATTTTTCATGAACACATATTGCTTTTGTAACTGCGGGAAGGTACACATGGGAACTTGTCTGTTTCAGACCTACTCAAAATCTCAAAGAAGAAAAGAAACAAAGAAAAGCATATACACACTCACTGCTGTCCCCAACTGCCTAATTCCTGAGGTGCCTTTAAGATGCCCTGAAACCAGTCATCTGAGCATCTTACAGGCACCTCGGCCAGCAACCACCCGTCACCCCCATCCCTGGAGCAGCTGAAGTTCCAGTAATGCTCCTTTGGAGGTTTTGGCTCCCTGAAGTCCTTCTCCAGTCCTCCAGCTCAGGCATTTCCCAGGGTGAAGCCAGCCAACACAGGTGTAATTGGCAGCAAGGAGATAACGGCTGAGCTATTAATAAAGCAACTGCTGGGTGTGAGCACTAAGTAGCCAGGGGAGCCTGCTCCAACACACAGGCAAGCAATGGAGAGATATAAATAAACAAACAGGTATTTTCATTACTGTATTTCTCCTTTGACTATGGCTGCAGAAGTCTCCCAGTCCAACCCATGAGGGAAGAAGAGAAGGGGGTAAATGAATGATGGTGGAGTCGGGACAACCTCTCCCTCCACCCCCCAGATGCTCCCAGTCGGGGAGAAGAGGGTGGAGCTGGAGAGGAGAAATCAGAGCGCAGAGCAGGACTTAAAGAGTCTAGAGGATAGAAAGGAGACCTGGGGGGGCGCCTGGGTGGCTCAGTTGGTTAAGCGGCTGCCTTCGGCTCAGGTCATGATCCTGGAGTCCCGGGATCGAGTACCGCATCGGGCTCCCTGCTCGGCGGGGAGCCTGCTTCTCCCTCTGACCCTCCCCCCTCTCATGCTCTCTGTCTCTCATTCTCTCTCTCGCAAATAAATAAAATCTAAAAAAAAAAAAAAAAAGAAAGGAGACCTGGGATTACTGCCTCCTTGACTATCGAGAGCCCTCAATGCAGAAAAACTGCAGAAGAGTTTGAATGGCACGGAGCAGGTTTCTGTGGAGAATACAGCTGACGCCGGGCACTGGGCAGCCCATGCCACCACCTGCTCTCTGTACTCTTTTGGATCAAGTGTCCCAGCAACACAAATGCACCTCTCTTTAGTGCTCCCAAATCTGGGCTACGATACTGTCAAGCAAGAGGAGAAAACATTCTTTACTGAAAACCTAATTCTTCATAGGGCTCTTATAAATAGTGAGCTCCCAGCACAGCCATTTACAGTATAATTCAATTTATATGCAATGAAAATAAAAAATAAAAAAATACACTTTAACTCTATAAACACTCTTCTAAGTGCTTTCCTATATTTACTCATTTAATTCTCACATTGCTCTAGGGGAAGATAATATCAGTATCCCCATTTTATAAATAAGCAAACTAAGGCACAGAGAGGATAAGCAACTTATTCAAGGGCACACAGCTAGGAAGGAGTAAAACTAGGATTCAAACCTGGGCAGTCTGATTCCAAGGGCTGCACTCAAACATCGTGCTATACTAGTTATCTCCCATGGGGTACTTGCCCTCGGTACCTGGCTTCCTGCCCTGGGAGAGAAAGGAGACCCTAATTATACAGGTGTGCCAACCCCAGTACCACATACAAAAAGCTGCCTCTGTTGCAGTGCAAAGCTCAGCAAGCTTCATCAGTGCTAGATAAAAAGAGATTATCATCATTAATCATGAGACTGACAAGGACACAACATCAAGGTCGAGACTCTGGGGAAAGCTTTGAACAGGACATGATTCCAGGTCTCATGCTGGTTGGCTGTTTCCACCTGCTATATACATGACCACTGAAGTGAGCACTGACTGACAGGGTTCCAGAGGAAAGGTGCACCTGGAAGCAAGGGCAAGGGTCAGCATTCCTTGAGGTTCCCCCCAAATTGTAAGGGCCAGTTGCCCAGGACCTTTTGCCCATACAGGCTACAATGAGGGTTAGGAATGCAAATGCAAGGGGAGAAGAAATGATGCTTCACTTCTCGGCAAACCCACCTGCTATCTCTGTCTAAAGAACTGGCATGGAAACGCTCTGGTCAAACCTGTCCCCACAGGAATAAACCTACAGGAAAAATACCTTGCAAAGTGCAAAGGCTAACCCTGTGGGAATGCAGGGTGCCCAAATGAGAGTGAGAGGTCAGACGTCAGACCTGACTCCCCGAGGCCTGCTAAAATGAACTACTACTGGCTCTTACTGCAATTTCTGCAGTGAGCAGCATCTTCACAAAACGTAGCCCAAAAAATGAAGGGAAACTGTTAACAGTATCAGCCCTAAGTAATCCCTGCACCTGCCACTCTGCCTTAATCACTGAGTGGGTAACTTTCAACATCAATCGAATGTGCAGACTCCCCCACGAGACAGTCAAAGAAAGCAGTAAGAAAATGTGGGGATATACCAGCAGTCTGGACCCAATGACAGACATTTCACTGGGCCTACTTGTTTCACACAAGAAATTCCCGTTGTAGACTTGGTTTTAAATTCCCATGTCAAAGAATTCTCTCTCACTCCCAACAAGCATTAAAGTCTAGGATTACAACTATATTCCCAAGATAGAATTCTGGGAGGGAGCAGCCCCTCCTCTTTCCCCAGACTCACAACATTTCTTCTCTGACATTCGAAGATTGGAGGCTTTGGTTTCATAGCTGTTGTTCTGTTCTGACGAAGATGCAGTATTCCCAGACATGGCAGCTCTTCGGGAGATGTCTGAAAGGGACAAAAGGGATGTAAGGAAGGAGATATACCTCAAAACACCCAGGGAAGAGGACAGGTGCAATAGAAGTGAAAGAATCCTGGACCAAGAGTCAGTCCAGCCCTCTTGCTCTGGGTTAATAGCTACATGTCCTTTGATAAGTCCTCCCTAGCCCTGTTTCCTCATCTATAGACTCAGTTATACTAGAATCTTGTCTTTTTAATGCTGACTTAGGAGTTACATTCACATAAATTAGCTCCTTCAATCCTAATAATCCTTCCATAAGGCTTATTTGCCACCATTGTTACTTTCCCCCAATTTACAGGTTGAAAAACTAAGTTTAATAAAATTAGGTGGCTTATCCAAGTTCCTTCCTGACCTCTACTTTAGTTTAAAAAGCTGGGGAGAGTAATGGTAAAAGTCGGGGGTGAAATGGGTTGCAAATAGATCGAGTTCATTATCATACAGTCATTGCAGTCCAATGGCAGGATTTATTCCTGACAAAAATGGGAGAAGTGGGGGAAATCTCAAACATGTTCCCTGAAGGAAAAACTGTAACTGGACCCCGTGACGACCCTAGCGCGTCACCATTTCTCCTCTGGTGTTCCCATTCTCACGCCCTTGCTCTGCACCCTCTTCCCACCCATCCCTTGGTTCACAGTCTATAAGGAATAATGGGGCGCAAAGAGGTGGTAAATGACTTCCCCAAGGTCACCTGCTTAATAAGAAGTCCTGACTCGAACCGGGGTGGGATAGCCTCGCGCTCACGCCCCACACCCAGACAAGGGGCTCGTGAGGACCGAAGGTCCTACTGCTTCAAGGACCTTGCACTGTTCTTCCACTGACCACACAAATCCTCTAACCCAAGCACCAGCCGCCGCTCCCGGTCCCAGAACGTCTGCACTCCCAGCAATGCCGGCACTTCCCCGAAAACGGCAAGGCATCACCGTCCCTCACCTCATCCCGGCGCACGCAGTCCCCCGCCCTCTCCCGCCCGCCCCGGCCCTGCGAGGCGCCGTACAGCCACCGCTCACCCTATGATCCCTCCTAAGCTCCCTTCCGCCAGTGGCCCGGGTACTTGCCCCGTTAGGCTGAGGACGGGAGCTGACACACTGTGGCCAGAGCCCGGCACACCAGCAGCCGGCAAATCACGTGCTCCTGTCAGGCTCCGCCACACTGGCGTCGGTCCTCACCTGGAGAGAATCATCGGCCAATCCAGCGCCCGCAGGCTCCCTGGGGCGGGGCTCAAATCGGAATCGCTGACGCTGGCTCCCGAAGGTGGAAGAAACTGTGAAGCCAAAAGATCGCAAGCTCCCAAGTTTCCTCGCACTGTGGAGGTTGGTTGCATCGTTGCTAGGCAACTCATAGGGCTGGGGGCGGGGTTAATAAAATACTTGACGTTTTTTCATACTCTCGCGAGAGTGGACGAAACAGACGTCTTGAGGGGATGTGACTTTTTGGTGACGGGAAAACATTGTGGAGGTTAACGCTTTCCTCCCTGAATCCCAGAGGGACCTTGTTAGATCCATAAATTGGAACGTAAACTTCAGAAGGTGGTGCTTTGCTAAAATAAGATACCACCGTACTTGAGCTGATTACACCTTAGGGTGTTTGCATCTCCTTCCCATTGGCCAGACACTGTAACGTAAGAAAATCAACTACTCTTACTGCTGAACCGGGAACTTCCCTGGACACATCCATATACTCCGGTGGTCTTCTAATCGTCGCCTTTATTCTCCCTCTACCTCCTACGCTATACCATCTGTTCTGGTCTCCTTGAAAAACCAGAAAAGGAAAATTGCTTCAGCAAAAAATTGGGTCACAAAATGGGGCAAAAGAGGCAAAACTTCCATATAACTTAGAGGTAGAGAGAGGCTTTTATATAGTAGAGGTGAGTTTGCATATTTCCAGCGAACTTTTCACAGTTGCCCCCAGGCCCTTCTGATGATGCTTGATGCTGTTGATAAACCCACTCTACGCAGGCGTGCTTTTTCGGATCCAGGATGGAAAAAGAACTAGGAATGTGGATTTCTTGGAAAAGAGATAAATTCAGAGATGTCTTTATTCCTCCTTCACCTGGGGATTAAATTCATCCTTCAAAACAGCTCAACTAGTATCTCCTTTTTGAAGTTTTTTACAACTCCCAGTGTGTATGTTATGGTTGCCTTATCTGCACCAGTACAACTGCCTTTATCCATTCAGCAGGTATTTATTGAGCACTTATTTGAGGCACAGTCCTTGGTTCTAAGGGATACGGGGTTGGAAAAGGTCACATAATCTAGCATTATCACGTGGCTGTGAAATTCAATGGTTATGTACCTTTTACACCCCACCCTCTCTCCCCATGACAGTACTTGTAGTACTGAAGGCAGGAATGGAGTCGTCTTCGTATCTGTAAGCCCAGGGCCTGAACTGGAATCCGGATGTCACACGTTAGTCCTCTTCTTTCCTCCTCCTTATACTGCTACCACCCAAATGTAGCAATTGCCCTAGGCCCAGATGCTGACCTCGTACTGCGCTTTCTGATGTGGCAAATGGACGTTTTCAAGTTACAGCGTCGAGGTGGCAAGGCCAGTCGGCTTCCTTAACCTCAATGAGTCAATGTTTGCTGCAGCCATGATTCCTAGTCACGAGTGTCTGCTTGTTTTTGACAGGTCTTTTGACTCACTGACCATTCTTGGCATTCGTTTGCGTTCTGAACTATGACTCTGTTTCTCCAGGTGTAGTCTGGAAGCTCCAATTTAATAATTTCCGACCTCACTAAGTGCAAGGTTACATTCCAATGTACCCGATTGAGGAACTCCTTCCTCCGCCCTCTTTCCTTGGGCATATATGCTGCCAACGCACAAGGCACCTCACTCATTCTACAGGTAACAAAGCCACTTGTACTTTAGGAAAACGGATAAATCTTCATCCTTTGGCTCCCTGGCGTTGGCTGCAGTGAGTTAGTTGTCACTTTAAGAGAGTTCGCGCTTCTTAAAGTGCTAAGACTTACGCTGCCAGAAAGTATCGCGAGATCTGTGGCCACCCGCGATTTCTCGCGATGTTTGGTCCGGCGAAGGGTGGCCATTTTGGAGTCCGTCCGGCGGCTGGTTGCCCTGGCGGCGTCGGCCGACCTGCTGCCGGGACCAAAGCTGGCCCCACGGGTGTCTGGCCTGTGGGCAGCTGGACCGACACGATGTGGCGGCTCCGCTGCAAGGCCAAGGATGGCACCCATGTTTTGCAGGGGTTGTCTAGCCGAACCCGAGTGCGGGAACTCCAGGGCCAAATTGCCGCCATCACCGGGATCGCCCCCGGCTGTCAGCGAATCCTCGTCGGATACCCGCCCGAATGCCTGGATCTCAGCAACGAGGATACCATTCTTGGGGATTTGCCCATCCAGTCAGGTGAGGGAATTGAGCCTGGGACCAGGGAAAGCCCTGGGAGGACGGAGAAGAGCGTGGGGGAGAACAGAGAACTGGTCTGTGGGTCATTTGGGGGGTTTGAGAACAGGGATAAGGATAGGTGAAAGAACGGAGAACTCTGACGGAGGCCGGGGCAAGTGTGGGCTAGCAACTCCTTGATTTTATATATGGTTGAAAGAGACAGGGAGGGCCCAACCTATATGAGAAGCCCAAAGCCTCGGAGTCCCCCCTTCCTCAGTCTGTTTCCTAGCCTACCTTGAAAACGTCTCATTCATTTTGTTTTCCTTCTGCATCTACAAAAGTCTAAAAAAATAAGATCTATTTTTTCTGTCCTGGTGGCTCTTTCCCTTATAACGTGAAAGAAGATAGCAGATCTGAAGGATTCAGGACACTTTCTTTTTTGGTTCGCCAGTTGGTTTTTGCAATCACCTTCTCATATACTTAGATAAATAGGTATACTCATTGTAGAGTATGGTTTTACACATCCACTGGAGTCCCTTTCAGATTCTAAACAATTGCAGTTACTTCTGTCCAATATTAAAACTTGAACAGCAATATTGATCATTAAAAGCTTTCAGCTGTTGTATCAAGGATCCTGTAAACACTACAGGGTGGATATGTTAAGTTTCAGAAGAACGAGAACCCCCTAGTGGTGTAGTCTAGGGTAAACACTTTTTGGAAGATTTGTGCTTTTAAAATGCAGAGAGGAAGCATTAAGGAAATTTTGTTCTTGAAATGTATCTTTTTAAGTAAGTATAAAGGTGTATAACCAGGGATCCTTCACTAAATTGGTATGCAGCCTAAAATGTTTTTCTTCTTCGTTCTGTTTTCATCTTTATGGAGATTGAGTGAACAAGAAGTGTTACTGGTTTCCTGTTTGCAAAGCTGTATTCTCCCTAGTAACCCAGTTTATACTTCAACTCCTTCTGTTTGTAATTTACAAACTTGGCTAGTGAACAACCAATTTCATCTGTAATTTCTCTGCAGTTCTGGATTTGTTTTATTTTTAACAGGCGACATGCTGATCGTTGAAGAAGACCAAACCAGGCCCAAAACTTCACCTGCATTTACAAAACATGGTGCTCCTAGTTACGTCAGGGAAACTTTGCCTGTGCTTAGCAGAACTGTGGTCCCAGCAGACAACTCTTGTCTCTTTACCAGTGTATATTATGTTGTAGAAGGAGGAGTCTTGAATCCAGCTTGTGCCCCTGAGATGAGACGCCTCATAGCACAAATTGTAGCAAGTGATCCAGACTTCTATAGTGAGGCAATCCTGGGAAAAACAAATCAAGAGTACTGTGACTGGATCAAAAGGGATGATACTTGGGGAGGAGCTATTGAGATATCAATTTTGTCTAAATTTTATCAGTGTGAAATATGTGTAGTGGATACACAGACAGTAAGAATTGATCGTTTTGGGGAAGATGCAGGATACACCAAAAGGGTCCTGCTTATATATGATGGCATCCACTATGATCCGCTTCAGCGTAACTTCCCTGACCCAGACACCCCGCCTCTGACCATTTTCTCCTCTAATGATGATATTGTTCTTGTACAAGCACTGGAATTAGCAGACGAAGCTAGAAGAAAGAGACAATTTACTGATGTAAACCGCTTCACCCTGAGATGCATGGTATGTCAGAAGGGATTAACTGGACAAGCAGAAGCAAGGGACCATGCCAAGGAGACAGGCCATACCAACTTCGGAGAAGTGTGATCTATGCATGATGAGGATTGCCGCCTACTACCTCACAGATCCAGAAGGCTCTGGGTTTTCCAATAAGCTATTCGTAACCCTAAAGAACAAAAGGACACAATGCTTGAACCGTCTTTTTAACTTAAAACCACTAAGACACTGAAATTCCTTGTTAAGATTAAAATTAGTGTGCAAGTTTACAGATGTGTGTCTACAGTGGTGATACATGCCCTTTCTCTGCTGGGGTGACAGAATAGGTGGTCCTTGCTACCTACTGACATTACCCTGAAGATTTGAATTTTAGTACTATAAACTAGCACTCAGCAGCATTAACCTGTGGAAGAAAACAACTTCATATTTTGAGTAATGCGGAAGGCCTCACTAGAGGCCACTGGACTTAAACCACAATGTCTCCATAATTGAGTCCTTTTAAAAACTCTGATTGAGTTAATAGTTTCTAAATTCTGAATTGATTCCTCAAATGAAGATACTCAGAATTGTCAAAACCGATTTTATATTACAATTTGGTAGACTTTATAAATGTGTACTTAACCAGTTATAAGTACATTACAAGCAATTTTTACAGGGATGAGTGTGTTCCTTGAGAATGTTACCTAAGGAACTGATAGTGCCCAATTTAGGATTTCTAGTGTATAAAAGTAGAATGTATGAGGGAAAAGGTGCCTGAGCAGCTTACTAAAGCTTTAAAAGACCGTTGGCCTCGTGTTTTAATGCAACTCATTTATTGATGTTTGTCACGTTAGATAAAAATTTTAAATTAAGCAGGGTATTTATTTTTTAATTGAAGTTTCTTGAAATTTGAGTGCTTGATTATTGTTTTTTTACATAAAGATTTGTCTGGAGGGATTAACTTCCTCAGCTTTTTCTCCAACTCCTAAAAAACAGCCTTCGTCTAAAATGATAATGCTGTGCTTTGATTTGGTTTTTGTGAGATCTTTTGTTTACCTAAACAGTATTTTTTTCCATGCTAGCCTTATCTGGCCACTAATGCTCTTTTGAATAATTTCACGTTTCTGCAAGTTAGCACTTTGCCTATCTACAATCTTTTACTTTGACTTTTGAAGAGTTTTAAAGTAGTTGGGATAATAACATTGAGTGAATTTGTTTCACTTCCAAAATACGACAGTTTTTAAATCCTTGCCTTATTCAGCTTTTTTGAAATTCTGCTTCTTCCTAATATTAGACGTGTAGTCATTTGCTTGGTGGGCTAAACTGCAAGGCACACC